TGATGGGCAGCCTTTATCCAAAGGATTTCAAATTCAGCAGTTACTATACTATTCCAGTGACTCTAGTGGAGAAGTCGGATGTTATATGAAAGATCCTAGCTTTCATCTATTAATTACCATCCTCATCTACTTTTCTCTTTTCTCGCTCTTACCGTCGAGTAAGAACAAGAATTAATGAAAAAACTTCTATGTAAAGAGATAGAATTTTGTTTAATATATCACCTAGGTTTTAACTAAGGAAAAAAAAATTCAGCCCAAAGGGAAAGGAACATTATCTTGGTATAGAACAACAAAAGGAAACCTTCCCTCTGTTCAACTTCCAAAGTGACACAGAAAAGGTAACACAGCAAGGGAAAGAAAAAAATTTGTTCTACAGACCTGTGGCAAAAGCAGCTTTTGCCTCTACACAGGTGCATTTCATCAGCCCAAGAAAAGACAGATTCCTGATATTACAGTGGAGCACAGGGTTTCCAGTAGTAGTTTCTATTGTAGCATTAAATATATTTCTACACCACCATCCCCAGAAAAATTTAAAAAAAAGAAAAAAGAAAAAACCCACACAGAGAAGCAAGTTCTCCTAATTTTTAGAGTGAATAGCAGATAATGCTGCTATTGCAACTGAATTGCTTGAGTGACAGATGACACACAACTTTATCACCAGACAAACACAGAGCAATTCTCAGACTTGGGATAATGTGTCTAACTGCTACATTAGCAAAGAAAGCCAAGGGAGCTCATAAAACACCATCTTGCATTAGCAAAATCACTTTAGCAACTTTCTAGTATATGCACAAGAAAAAAAGAAACATAATTCAGCTAAAAATAAGCATTTCATATGCTTTTATCACATGGAGATCTTGTATGGGCTTAGCTCATTAGGCACTTCATCATGGCAGCGATGAGAGCTTCTCCAAACTGGAACTTCTAAGTCTGGATGGCACTTCATTGAACCACAATTCAGAGCTTTCTACCTCCACAACCATCATCGTTTATTTTACAGTACAACCACGTCTTGGTATTTTCTCAGCAAACCACATTAAATAAGAGCTAACTACCTGCACTATCTCAGCTAAGTGCTTTAGTTGAGCTCTCAGTCTTAGTTTTCTTGCCTCTTCTTTGGAGTCTCTATAAGACAAACTCAGAAAGCCTTTTTACTGTAACTATTCTCTATGTGTTACAAAGCAATCCACCTGATTAAGCTTCTAGAAAAGCCCATATATCTACCAGCAAGTTGTCAGGTTATTTTCACTTTTCTTAAAAGGTCAGTTTTCTCCACCAGATCTCTGTAGGCCAAGTACACAGCCTAAAACAAGAAGGCGCCCTGGAAAAAAAACAAACACCCTGGTGAGCTAACAGAAATCGTTTTCCTATGCTTAGGTTTTGAAAAATCACTTGAAATGTTTTTTCTTCGTATCTCTTGCACTAGTATCATTTTGAAAAAGTCAGCACACACATTCAAACAAACAAACAAAAAGTAGCTCTACAGACTTGAGAAACCAGCCTCATTTAAGCAGACTTTTTAAAAAAAAATTACATAGAAAGTCATTCTTAATTCAAAGTTACATGTGTCATACAAGCATTTAACATAGAGATTAAGAAGTTTATCAGATAAGCAGATAACTCAGGTGCCAAAAACATGTTTAGCTGACATGGGAGTGATGACTTTTAACTGTTAAATACAGACAGACAATATTAGCTGTTATTCACTTGCATTCAGATACAGTTGTAAGAACCAAAAATTGCTGTCAAAGATCATTTTTGAAGCACTGCAATGGACTTGTAAAAATGGATAGGCATTACTCCCCGATCAGTAATTAAATATACTTGTAAGAGAATGATATGTTGTCTAGAGCTGCAGATACTGTAGGTACAAATGCCCAAGAAATAAAAGTTGATGCATGATTAAGCATTTCTAAAGAGAAAAGCTCTAAATTTATGTAAGTATTCCTTAAAAGACTTATGATGTTACCTTGGAAACATGCTCTACATCCACCTAAGCACAGATCACATATATCTATATTTTCAATATTCAGCAACAAATATGATGCAAATTCCCCATCCATGCAAAGTCTTTCTGAAAGAGTCTTACATTATAATCTGAAAGGGCTGCAGACAAATTAAAACTTCAGTCATATATGGCAGTATTACAAAAGACATAAATGAGTCAAAGCCAAAACTGTTCAAAGAAGGGCAACAAAGCTGGTGAGGGGTCTGGAGCACAGGCCTTATGAGGAGCGGCTGAGGGAGCTGGGATTGTTCAGTCTAGAGAAGAGGAGGCTCAGGGGAGACCTTATTGCTCTCTATAACTACCTGAAGGGAGGTTGTAGTGAGGTGGGGGCCGGCCTCTTCTCTCGTGTAACTGGCGACAGGATTAGAGGGAATGGCTTCAAGCTGTGCCAGGATAGATTCAGGCTGGACGTTAGGAAATACTATTTCTCTGAAAGAGTGGTCAGGCTCTGGAATGGGCTGCTCAGGGAGGTGGTGGAGTCACCGACCCTGGAGGCGTACAAGGAATGTTTGGACATTGTGTTGGGGGACATGGTTTAGTGAGAACTATTAGTGATAGATGGATGGTTGGACTGGGTGATCCTGTGGGTCTTTTCCAATCTTGGTGATTCTATGACTCTATGAAAATTAAGACCAAAATCGAGACTGCCAGCAGGTATTTTTCACATCAGTACAACTACCAGCTGCACTTGGTGTCCATCTTCCCTCCTATCCAGAACAGAAACGTTTTCTTAATTCACATGTCAGAAGACATGTGAATTTAACATGTGAATTTAACATGTGAGTTTAACTGAGTAGCTGTTTCTTTTTGTTCTTGATAAATATCTACTCTGAAATGGGAAAGATGGAACTCAAGCCAATACCAGTGCTTATAAAGCACAAAGTTTCCAGACGACACTCTTATATATATATTTGGGAATCTTAGATACGACAGCCCACGGTTAACCAGCAACACTTAAATCTCCCTTAACAGTAAAGATTCAGGCGCCATTGGACAGCTATTTGTGGGATCTATCAGCTCTTTCACAACTGTTTAGATTTAGAAGATGTGTTACCTTCTTCATTATGAAAATGAGAAAGACCCAAAGGTAATTACAGCCTACAAATAGCTGTCTGGACAGAGACAAAACAATCCAGAACCATCTTTGTATGTTTAAATAGATAAAGGGTTAACACCTTATTTGTTTCACAAATTAGTTACATCTTTGCTACTCTTGTAGACACTGTGAGCATGGTTTGTTATCCAAACTGAACAGAGATGGTTGCTCCATCCATTCCTGCACTGCTTACAAAATGGAAAGTCTGTGGGGAAATCAGCAGTTAATTTGTTCTATCCTTCTATCTCCAATCTCGTTATTCCAAGTCCTTAAACGTAGGGTAGGTACCCCAGAGCTTGACTGTTGTCTTATTTTCAGAGAAATTCAGAAGAAGGGAATACAAGAGAAAAGTGTTAAGCAGTTGCAAGACATAAGAGATGCTTGAAAAATAAAAGTCATAGTGCTTCTAGCTAAAGAGAATTAGAGAAGTCATCCCAAAACAAGAAAGTTACAAGGGTGACAATCAGAAATTCTATGACAAGGTGAAACTATGTTACGCATGCAGCTGGCATACAATATTAGTGTACTTGTAGATCTCCAGGAAACATCTGGGTCAACCAGCCAAAGCTCAAGAGCATTGAGATCGTCTTGAACTGATGAACATGTTCTGTGTGTGCAGAAGGCAGCTTATAGAAGATATCAAAGGACTTGCAACTCAGTTCAGAAAAAAATGTTGACAAAACTTCTGCTGTTAAGAAGACCCAGGACCTTGAATGTTACATACTATGGTTCCTGTTTACATGACTGACTGTAAGTCCAAATCACCTGAAACTGCACATTTAGGAGGAGTCATGTCATTGGTTGAATTTGCTCTGCAGCCTTTTCTGTTACTCCTGGAATAATTCCAAAGCTATCAACACAAAGCCCTCTGAAGCTGGAGCCCTCTCCAAGCCAGTTTGTGGTTACCCCAATACAAGCCCAGTCAGAGCACCATAACTTGCACTCAGCAGTCTCCAAATCCACTTTCATCTTCTAAAAAGGCAACCTTGGTGCCAATCCTTTTAGAATAGCCTGGAGTAGCCCAGAGACACGCAGATGGACAAAACATATAGCCGTTTCATCACGCCAACCACAGCGACCTTAGCCCTTCCCCGGGCAATTCTTGCCACATTGCACACTTAGATCTCTAACTCAGATTAATATTAACCTGCTCTCACCTGCCATTCCCACGGCAGGGGAAGGTGCCAGGTACCCCCCAACCTTCACACCCCCCTTTCAAGCAGCAGGTCCACCTCCTTCTCTCCCTTCAGAGAGCCCTACACAAGGACGTCGCATCCCCATCCCTTAGGAGGCAACCCACTTCATCCCTTTTTCATCGAGCAGATCCCGAGAGCTGCCTTCCGTGTCAAACCAGGATTTTAAAGGCGGCTTAAGCCAAGCGTAAACACAGCCTGCGAAGGCCCGGCTCGGTGCGGCCCCGCAGAGGCCTGCTGCTTTTCCTGCAACGAGCATCGGCAGCCGCCGGCAGCTCCGGCAGCCCCGCGCTCCCCCCGCGGCCCGCCACGAGCCCACCCGCCCCGGCCTCACTCCAACGACGGGCATCGACCCCCCTCCCGCTCTCCCCCAACAATCGGGGCCGTGGGGGAGAAGGAAGCGCCGAAGCGCCGCCAGACACGCGCCCACAACGCCCGCCCCGCATCGGAAAGCCTCCCGTCTCGGCACCCCATCCCACCCCCCCGCATCTCCCGCCGCCCCCTGGGGCGCGTCGCCATTTCGTGAGGAGCGCGCTGCGAGCGGCTCGCTGCGACGGAGGGGGAAGAGGAGGGAAGGACACCGGGAGGTGACCGGGGAGACGGATGAGGGGCGGACGCCCCGACCCGAAGCGCAACGGCCCCCGGCGGCCGCCGGCCCGGCCCCGTCCAGCCCAGGCCCCGCCGCGCCTCAGCCGCCACTCACAGTTCCGGATATCGGAGATGAAGACGGCCAGGCCTCGCATCCCATCGCCCTTCGACACCGCCGGCATCGTGGCGCGCGATCAGGGCCGCCCAGCGACACGCCGAAGCACCGCAACTACCACCGCCGCCACCGCCCGCTCTCCCCGCGGGGCTCCTCAGGCCGCTGCAGCCGCCGCCTCTGCAGCGCGCATGCGCAGGGGTGGCTCCCGCGCCCCCGCGGGCGGCGGCCGGCGAGGCTGCGGCGCCCCCTGCCGAGCGGAGGCAGCGCCGCAGCGGCCCTGCCCTCTCCGCAGCCCCTCGGCTGTCCCCGCAGAGGCTCCGGTCATCCTCCCGTCCGCTGGGCCGTAATGCCCCTTCGTGTCCTGGGGCGTGACACGTTTCTGTCGAAGGCCGCAACCGAGCAGAGCAACGCAGTCCCACGCCACACCTCCTCTTGGGATGGAAAACATCTCAAGGTTAAACTTCCTTATATGAGCCAGGTTGGACTGCACAGAGCATTTAATCTCATCAGCTGGAAATAGATTCTGAGGGTGTCAAAACTGTCTAGTCCGCCTAAACAACAGTGTATTGAGAGGTTCAGTTGTAATGCTAGTGGTTAGCATACTTAGTGGATCATAATGACCTCTATAAGCATTAAGGAATACTGGAGATCACTCATTCAATGTTTTCCTGCATCCTTCAAGCTGTTTATTTTCATCTACACCTTTGTTTTTTCCTTTTCTTTCCCTTTTGTTTTCATTTATTTATTTTTGCCAGAATTGAGACCAGTAACTAGATTTTAGCTGCAGTCTATTTTCCAGAAAGGCACACAGCTCTGATCTGACACCACCAATTTCACTGCTCCCCTGGGTAGTTTGTTGCTGTGGTTTCATGTTCTGTATTTAAAGCCTACATCCTAAATTTGTAAAGCTTCAGTGCCTCCAAATAATGATATGCTTTAACCTCATACAAGAAGACTCACATAATATTTTCTGGTAACTGCTATGTATATTGCTTAGGTAATCTCTCAAGGGTCTTTTCTGCATGTTTTCAGGATACATTTTTACACCGGTTCTTCTTCATTGTTATCCACTCCAAGGAGAAGACTGCAATATCTGATAGTAGCCAGCGTATCCATTTCTTCCTGGGTGTGGTAGATCTAATAGCACTAATAGCAATTGTGTACAATCAGTCTTGATTCAGATTCTTTGCATATGGAGGCTTACATGTGAAGAAAAATGTCTCATTTCATAGCTTTACAATCAGATTTTGAGGCGTAACAACAATTACTTTTGAAGTAGAAAACATGATTTCACTAAGTATTTTTCCTCAAACAAACAGACATATTCATGTTTGAGTTAGCCAAAATAAGAAGTTGAACTAATTTCTACTCTTTAAAAGCAGAGTGACACCTAAAGGCCAAGTGCATCAGTCCTGTGTGGCTGCATTCCAGTCACTGCAGCTGCAAGTTGTGCAGGCATCCTTAAAACTCCCTTTAAAGAGGGAGCTTACGTACTGTTAGCTGAATAGATACAGTAGTGTCAGGTATAGAGTCTGCTTGAAAAGTGTAGTAAACACACAAAGAACTCCTCTGGGGCTCTTCAGTATTTAATTATTTCATTTCTAACTTCCTATGCATTATGTAGTCATTTTACATTCACCTCTTTCTACTGTCTTTTGAGTATCTACCATGCATTTTCTTACACCCTATCTTCTTTTTGCCTCAAAGACTTGTGCAATTACAGTGAATTTGTTGGCATGTGTGCCTCTACTTCCTCTAAATCAAGAACTCACTAGCCACTTACAGAGGGTAGGGAAAAGATACTCATTTTAGGTGAATAAATAGCCGGCTAGAGGAGAGAGAGCCTGTAATGATCTCTGGGTGTATCCTGACAGAAAGAAATTCCGTAATGTGAACCCAGGCATTATTGGAGAGCAGAGTACACACTAGATATAATTCCTTACAAAACACACTAGCTGATATATCAGGAAAATATTCCACTTTGAGTTTAATGTCTACAAAATACCAGTCTGTGACAAATCAGACTTCATCTGTTCCATACATCTCAAGATACTACGATTTTTAAAGAGATTTAAATTACTGTAAATCAGCATTAAGGTGGCAACAGTCTCAAGAAAATTCCTATTATGCAAAATGGTTTGCAGCACAATTGTTTGCCCAACAAATCCATGATGTTTATCTCTTCCTCATGCCATCCATAAATTGCTTTCATCTTCAGAACTTCAACACAATTTGGTATAAAGACTTTGAAAAATTAGTCTGGTCTTTATAAAACTAATATTATTAAACTATTTGTTTTCAGCTGGTATCTGTAGGAAGTATAGTTTCCACTGCATTTCTTCCCAGCCTAAAACATAGAACTGAGTGATAGTTTACAGACAGAGTTTAACTCTTATTTTGGAGCTTTGAGTGCTGTGCAATTTCAATTTCTATTTGGTTTCTAAAGCCAAAATGTGTTTGATTTTTGAGTGTGATTACATATCATTATGAGGAAATTCAACACCAGGAATCATCCAACAGCCAGCAGGATTTACTGTCCATGCTGTGTTTAGTACTGCCATAGTTATTCTGCCACCTACAGCTACTCTTCAGCCCTACGTGAGTGTCTGCCAAAATCACTCTAGAATAATTTGGACAGCATTGTGCTTAGGATATGAAGTCACACACTGTGGTATTGTTTTGCCAGCTCTTTGTACCTCTGTAATGAATTTCTACACGGAAGAAGGAAATTCTTCTTTTCCCTTTGTTATTTTTGACAGATTTGTCCCTCACTTCATCAGTTACTGCTTTCTCCTCCTCCTCATGGTCATTCTAACCATACTGGAAGCAAAAACAGCTAATGAGAAAACAGAATTTGTGGTTCCTATACAAGCGTACTCAATCTTGTTAATCTACCTGACACCTGAAGTTCATTATCTATTGATGGAGAGCACAGGTTTATCAGTAATGCCTTCTGCCATGTCAGAATATCAGATATGTTGCTTTTAAGATTAAGAAGCACAAAGCTACGATAACACCACTATCATGAAATCTAAATTTTTTCAAATATGGATTTCTCTAAATCTCTTCCATGCAGTGAGCAACTCAATGACTGGAAGAGTTTCACACTCTACCATATATGTACAGATGTGTGAAATAGAATAGTTAAGCTTAAAATAAACTCTAAAAGCGAACAAGATAAAATACAGGTGAATTAAGGGTATCCAAATAAGCTGACCTTGCCCCCTGCTTGCTGGCAGAGTGCTGACAGCCATCTGAGTAGCTTTGTGCATTGCAATAAATTTTATATTACTCCTTCTAGCTCATAGGAGGTTTTTTCCCTGTTTGTCTTAGTCATCTTTCCCTTAAGCTGCAGGCTTCCAAATGAAGCTATGGGCTTCATTTCTTGTTGAGAAACCATTTTTGCTTCCAAATCTTTCTTCGCTGAGTATGCACAGTTACTCCCCAGGGAAGGAACATGTTTCTATTCTCCCCCAGGTGACTGGCAGTGCTCTTTTAAAGGAATAGTATTGTACAGAAAAACACAAAATTTAAACAAAGATCCCCTTATCATTTGGATTTACTTAGCAGAATATCAGTCTTTCGAGGGGACTCCCCAGTACCTGGCAGTGTACCCTTATACCTATGAGTTAAAAAGACCTGTGGTTCCAGTACAGGCAGCTGCAGGTTCCCTCGGAGCAGCATGTGCAGTGCCAGCTATCTGCAGCAAACCTTTGGTTCAGTCCCACTGAGGGTACAAGAGAGTCAACAGGATAGCATAATAAGAATGCAGTACAGGAAATGACAGATTTCATTACAGAGTAGCTGGAAACAAACCTAATTTTTCATACCCCTGCCTTATCTCTGTCTTTCCTACTATTGAGAAATGTATCCTGGAAATATCTAACACTTGGGAGAGATGAACAGCATTTTAAAAGCAATAGAAAATTCAGTACCCAAGCACACAAGCGAACGTTGATTTCCCTTCTGAAGTCCTCACAACAATTCACATCTGTGTGACTCAGGGCACAGGGGAAGGGCACACTCAGCGCTGTATCTGGTTCACTGACTCGAGTTCAGAGGAAAAACACTTCTGTTTTTCGATTCAGTGCTGAATTATGTTTAGATCTTAGATTACACAAGAGGGAAAGAAAGCAAAGGGTGGATGAGGAAATCTTTCAGTTCTGCTTCTGGGAAGCGGCACCAAGTTCACGCTGTGGCAAAAAAGTAGGCCTAGAAAGCCTTTCGCTGGGAAGGGTGGGCCTAAACTTGCTAGGTGAGCACCCAGGCAACCTCCACCCGGCACAGCAGGAGGCACACAAGGAGGCACGTAGCGCCCAGCTACAGACAGAGCTGCCGCCATGATGGCGCGACCCGCGCTCAGCCGCCGCCTCAGCGCCTCCCATCAGTCGCAGGGGCGGCACCGCCCGCCTCCATTTCCGAGGCGGCGGCGGGCGGTAGGTGGTGGCCGCGGGCCGGCGCTGCCTGGAGGCGGCGGCGGCGCTCTCGGGGGAGGGAAGGATGCGGGCGGTGATGCAGCGACCCGTCCGTTTAGGGTTTATTGGCCTGTCCCGTAGCTGGGATGCGGTGATACGGATGGCAGAAGCACTGCGGGGGCTGGCCCGGGGTACGTAGGCCGCGGGGCACGCTCAGACTGAGCCCGCGGGGTTGTGCTGGCCTGCAGGCGGGCTCTGACGGAAAAGAGAAAGTTTGGTATCTCCAGAGTACAGGGGGCAATTTTTAGTGTTAAAGCAGAGCAGCTTAGAAGAGTAGGGGAATGCTTTTTAACACAGCTTAGAAACGGGCTTATTTTTGCCCCGAATTTAGCTTCTATTGGCTTGGTTCACTGTTTCCTCCCCCCCAGCAGCTCAACAGTTTGTAGCTTGGGCTTCCTTTACGAAACCAGTTGCATATCAGAGCATTTACTCCAATAGCAGTTAGAACCCAGCTTCCTCTTTCATAAGTGTCATATAAGCATTCACTCTGATTTCACAGAAACCTTAGATTTGGAAGGAACCATTAAAGGCCATCTAGTCCAGCTCCCCAACAGCTAACAGGGACATCCACAGCTAGATCACATTGCCTGGGATAGTTTCTAAGTAGTTACTGTGCAAACCCCCAAGATTATGCTTTTTGACTGCTTCTTCAGACAACATAAGTCTATGCCAGCTTCTCTATTTCTTTTAAATAAAACAGCATTTAAAGTATCTGGCTGTGTTACCCAGGGAGACTCATTTAGTAGGGGCTGTCACCAGGCTCTGGGAGACACCAAGGCCTCAGACCAGCATGTCAAAAAAGCATCTTAAACCTTAGTTTTCCTTGTATGCTGCAATACAAAAGATAAGAAATAAAACTGTTCAGTTTAGTTAACATGAGGATAATAAAATGTTGAAGGGAGGCTTGCTAGAGGAAAGACTTATTGGGCATCTAGTTTTGAAAAGCTTGCAAAATTTGCGCTCTTAGTTTCCATATAGTGCATTTAAAGCTTGATTTATTCATCTTTAGATACTAAAATGACACTATGTGCTTAATGTTTGCTGGTATTGTTTGTATGGCAAAAGAAAGCAATGACAGTGCCTGCAAATGAGATACACGTACTGTGGAACAATAGCAGGTAATAAAGAAGGAAAATTGACTCACCCCTTCCAATAAATAGTAACAGTTTCAGAGGAGTACAGTCTATCCAGAGAAATGCTGCTCCCTCAGCTGCCAACCCTTAAATGAGAGTGAGGAGGGGTGGATCCTGGCTCCACCCCTTCTGATCACTCAGGTGCATTGCTTGCACCTGAGTGATCTCGCTCTTCAACCATTGGCACAGTGACCTGGCAATTCCACTGCATTGCTAAAGATGAAGTTAATAAGATAAAGTTCCTACTAAGAGTCAGTATTAGAATGTCACTAGCAGAAAATGTTGCTACAGGCTCTGCACTTTCTATAGATCCAGGAGTGGATGTTGGCTTACAGTAACTGCCAGATAGATATGATCAAGGAAATGAACACAATTTCTAATCGGAGTCCAGTGGTGTTTTTTTAACTTCTGTGCTTCAGCTGTTAAGCACTAACTTCTTTCTAGGAATGTGAATGCTGTTGCTAATTGTTTCTGAAAGTGAAATCAAACACCTCCAAATCAATATATACCAGCTTCTGGAAGAATCGATATCCTGTCCAAATTGTTAAGATTTTGTATTGACTGTTCAGGCTCTCAACTGTTCCCATCTGTAATAGATCCTGCTAAGTTTGATGGAACAGAGTAGATGCTATCAAGAGCAGCTTCCTTTGTCTAATCTTTTTGGATGTTGGAAACAAGAGTATTAGTGACCTTGGAGGCAAAGAAGAGCAACACCTTAGCTACTAATAATAGTGAAATGTAAAGTGGTATGGTGATTTAGCTTTTGCCTTGCCCTCTGGATGCAAGAGATATTAGAGGACTTGCTGCTTTTACTTTTGCATTCTTCTTAAGACTTGATTAAAGTCTTCAACTAATTTTGTACACAAGGGCTTTGAAGATGTCTGTTGTTTGGTGCTAGTGACATTATACTTTTTTCAAGCACTTCTTCTGCCATCAATCTCCTGCTTTGTTGGCTGGTCACATTCTTGCCTCTGTTTTAGTGCAGGATGCCCAACTCCTGCAAGATCTCTTTCTTGGCTTCTCAGCAACTCACTACGACACCAACCTTGTCCAGATATGTGTTGTTAATCTCATCTCAGCATTACTAGAATTGACCTTATATGGCTACCAACAGAACAAGTCTTGTAAATATAGCTTGAAGAAACGATTTAGTAAGTCTTCAGAGTGAGTGGCAGAAAAGTTTGTTCTTTTCTGAAAAGTTAGTGTCATACTGGAAAATTTGTTTTGTTTTAATTTAGAGCAAGGGGTTACGTTTGACAGAACTTCAGACAGTTATGGGAAAGCTAACATTTTTCCTTCTCCATTAGGATCTCAGTATTGTGAGAAGCAGCCAGATATATGTCCTGAGCAACTGATTTATTATACACAAAAGAAAATCCCATTGTGATCTGTAGGACATCTAGAATTAGCAGCACATTACTTCCCTCAGTTTCCTCTGCTCTGCTTCTGCTAATGCCAAGAATTCTTTTTCTTTTTTCATCTTATCCACTTATTGGATCTGGAAAACTGATGAAACTCATGAATGGGGAAAGTCTAAACAACAGTCTCTGTCTGTACTTGAATTTTTTTTGTAAAATCTTTCTCCTGACAGAACTAAGTTGTGATAGATAAATAGCACTGAATTGAACTGTTCTCTATTAATTCTCAATACTTATATTTGGAGCAAACTATCAAAGTTTTTTCAGTTCTCTTTGTATCACCAACTTGGTGAATTCATTAAAGTTCTTGCTTGTTGTGGTAAAGGTATATAGATATAAGCACATAGCTATATTTTTTTCTGTGCCTTATTTAACCTGTGTCTTGTTAACTGAATTAGTCATGATCAGTTGTATCTCTTATGTGCTATAGAAAAGGCAAGGCTGTGCTATTCTGGACAGCAGGCATTTATCACAATTTCAGCTGCAAAACCCTGTATTTCTTTAGGAATTCTTTAAAAGAAAAGCTGCAAGGATCCCACCAGCTTTCCCTGGGATATATCTACAAATCTCTTTAAGTACTCTGCTATATTGCTATGCAGCGTAAGGTATTATCAAACAGAGCTGCATTATAGTCTTAATCTAGAGGGCAGAAGATGAGACAATTGATGTTTCTTAGACAAGAAAACTGAATTTCTCTTAAACAGCTATGCTCTTCTGTTTGCAGAGATTTGAATCCTTATATTTCTGGGACAAGAAAAACTTGACATTGGGAGAAACACTATGAGGTTTCTTTGTGTTTCACTTTCTTTAACCATGATTTGCTGGCTAGCTGAAGGTACCTTGTCAAAAACAGACGCAAAGAAAGCTGCTACAAAAAAACTGGAAGAAAAGGTAAGCTAAATAATTGAAACACTCGTCTTATTTAACATGTGCAGTGATATAAGTCAGCTTTGAGAAATGGTAAGCGTATTCTCATTTAAAAAAAAAAAAAAAAAAAGTGTTGAAATCAACTGTACATTTCCACTGAAGCTTATTCTCAAATGAAACTACGTGAAATTGTCCTTTCATTCATCTTTTCTGAGTGTCACAAATGCTTCACTCCTTTAACCAATACAAGGTAGACTTCTGGAGCTTTCAGCTCCAATAGAAGCTGCATAAGACTGCTGTAGAAGCAAGAACTTTTTATCCCCTTCTGCATGTGAAGAAAGCATACCTCCATCCCTATGTTGGGAGTTGAGGGAGCAGTAGTGTTGGCCAAGAGCACCAGGTCGTTTAGAGATGGGGGAGATGTTCTCAGCGCTGCCAGTGGGAAAGCTGTGTTCTGAAAGAAGAGTTTGAAGAGCTTGCAAGCCAGTATTTTCTTTGAAGGAAGTAGTCATTCAGAGTCCCATAGCAATTTGAGAAAATGATTCAACGTGTTGACGTCTCTCTTAAATTGCTGACAAGTGCTGTTCTTGTTTCCTTCCTGTTCTTTCAAAGCTATAAGAATGCACAGCAGTGCAGGAGAAAGGGTGTGCATGGAAGTATATTTACCAGTGCATATACCAAATATATGTACTTCATGTTGCGAAGCACTCTTTAAAAAAAAAAAAGGAGGCATGTGATCTATTCCAAATCTTGTCCCTCAAATTATAGGTAATCCTTCATTATGCAGATATGTTTCTCATTGTCTATACTGCTTGCTCAGTGTCTACCAGGAAGAAAAATCTAATATGCTGCTAAAACTACTAGGTGCAAAGGCAGTACAGACTGTTGAGACCTGCCTTACCCTGTTTCTGTGTGCTCACTGTGCACGCTTTCTTAGTGTGTGGGCTTTATTAGCCTTCTTTCCTAAGTCTACATGTGCTGTTGTAGATGATCTTCAAGATGATCTTCTATAAGAAGGGTATTTGGAACTTCAGCTGTGACCACAATGCAGTATACTTAACCAAAAATATGTCCAGTTTAAAAGTCTTTGAAATCTTGGTTAAGAGCTCTTCACCAACTTTTGTTGGTTTGGCAGTAGCTAGAAAGCAGGGACTAGAGTGCAGAAGAAAACATAAAGGCATTATTTTGAACAAATCTTGACAACTAGTACGAAGGCTGTTGTCAAGTACTATAGAATGTGTAGCAACTGAGATTAAGTGGCTGTGTTTGGCAAGATATGAAATTGATATCCCACCCAGGATATCCTGTTCTATGCAAGTCTAAAATAGCTGGGTATAAACTGGATCTTTAGCTTTTCAATTTTACAAATGATTATGTGTTGAATTTCTTGTCTGGATTTTCAGGATTGGCCATTAATAGTATTTAAGAGGTATCTTTTTTTTTCCTGCTTTTGCATTATTTTCATGTTTAATTGTGCTTGACTGTGTTTTAGAAAGTGCTAATGTCAAAATGTGTCCAATGGCCAGGGATTATCCCAGATCCCCTGTCCATTGTTAAACATGCAGTTCAGCAGTTTAAAACTTCTTGCAGAATTGCTCTTTATGTTACGAACGTACCAGTCATCAGGTGTGCTAAATGATGTTGTTAAATCTTATCACTTGATTTTTTTTCCTTTTCTTTTTCTTGTAATCAAAGTAAGATTACTGGTGATGACAAATCATTTCCCAGCTCTTTCTTATTTTCTTTTTAAATCAAACTATTTCACATGATTTGAAAAGAGTACTCAGACTTTAATGTTGTTTTCTTTTTGAGGCCTGTAGCTTTTGAAAATGGCTGCTTATAAAAACTGTTGTCTTCCCCCAGACACTGCATTCTGATAAGAATGTGCAGGACCGGGGACTGGTAGTTACAGATCCAAAGGCAAAGGACATTATACTGGAACACAGAAGCTACTGCTCTAAGAAGACGAAAGAAAGACACTTCTCAGGAGATGTTCTGGGATATATTACTCCTGTGAGTTAATAAATCAAATAAAATTGGTGCTTTGAATGAACATGCAGTGGACTGTACTAATCTTGCCTCTTGCATCCCTGCTATAAAAATATTTTTGTAGTATTTGGAACTTCTAGTCTGCAGTCATATATTCAGAGGATTATTCAAGACCTTGAGATTCAGGTGGTCTCAAACTTATGTTCTCCTACTCGTCTCTTGTAGGATATCTAGGTCATATTGTTTTTCTCACCAGTAAAACAGTTGTATTTTTTTTTTGTTCTTGAATGAGCCATGTAAAGTTACAGTATTTTCAGATGAGGAATACTACTGAGTATCCTTATATTATGCAGCTACCAACTTGAACCTTCTAAGGAAATAGTAAAAATTTTATCCTGCTATCAAGCTATCTTATTATCCAGTCTTACTGTTCAAAGCATCTTCTCTTGAACAATAAATGTTACTTCCTTTTGTTTAGAGAATGCCTCTTGTTTTGTTTTTTGCACTACTCAGAACAGAAATAGGTTCCCTATGAACTTCCAGCTTTCTCACGTTCTGTTGAACATAAGTGTAGACCTTGTACATTCAAATCTATGTTGAATCTAAATGTTAATTCCTCCAGTTTAGTTGAATTTGCATAAACTGAACACTGGCATTCATGTAGCTATGAAAGTGTTATAAATGCTTTATTATTTAAGCAAAAACAAAGCTACAGAAGGTTTTCTGAAACAAGCAGAGATTTAGCAAGTGATTACATTTGTGGTAAAGAGTTTTTATTATCAAAATCAAAATGGTCTGTATGTCTTGCTTGTCATCTCTCACTTTTCTTTCTCTCCTTTTTTTGCAAGTGGAACAGCCACGGCTATGACATTGCTAAAATATTTGGAAATAAATTTACATTAATCTCACCAGTCTGGTTACAAGTGAGAAGGAGAGGGAAGGAGAGGTTCCAGTTCACTGGGCTCCATGATGTAGATAAAGGTTTGATTTCCTTTTTATTTGAATATGGATTACAAATAGGATCACTGTTCTTGTTGCAAACTGATGGGTAGTTAATATATGCACGTGCATTTTTCACACTGCCTCTCATTGTCAAGTAATTTCATCTACTAGTTTTAGAAAGATTTTTACACAATGAACTTTTCTGTTCTCATTTGCTTCCACAAATACACGTAGTTTCTGTCCAGATAATAAGTAGAAAGGCAGCAGGCTATCTACAAAGCCCCCTTTAAAAAAGGAAGAGACAAAGAATCTCTACAGATAGAAACAGTCCTTTGTGTTTTCACTGTGCAGTTATTTATCTGTTTTTATTCCTTCTGCCCTCCCCCCAAAAAAACAAACAAACAAAAAAAAAAACAAAAAAAACCACATACAAATAAACTAGAAACCCCTGTGAGTTTGTTCTGGGAATGAAATATGAATTTAATCTGAAGAGAATTTTCTCCACTGTCAAGGAAATTGCAGCAGATTCAGAATTTGTATAGTATGTTCTTACTAAATAATTAGTTTGGTTTTGAACTTGATTGTCTGTAAAATGCCATTTTAAAGAGCTCTAAAGATAGTTTTTACTATGTTAGTGCCTACTGATAAATTAATTGTAATGCAGTGACTATTGAGAGGGTGTGGATGGGACGCTAGGAAGTACCAACTGAATTTAAAAAAACAAAAAACCCAGCTAACTTAAAAAAGCAACAAAAAATCATATTCTTCCCAGGACTACACAACTGCTGTTGTCAGTAAGCAGTGAGATGTTTTCCGTGATGAAACAGAACTGTGAGCAACAAGGAGAAGGGGCTGGGAAGGACTCTTAAGGGCTCACACTTGTAAATGTGAGTTACGCTGTGGTAGAGGTGAATAGCTTCAATTTTTCTGTATCAGAGGCTGCTTCCTCTACATTGCTGATGAGCCAGTAGTCTGTAGCAGGAAGACTGATATAATTAAACTTTGCTACATTAGTTGAAAAGTGCTTCAAAATATGTTGTCCTTGTCAATACATTTATGTTTTAAGACCTATTTTCTTGGTAATATTTGACAGGCTGGATGAAAGATGTCAGAAAAAACTCCAAAAACATCAAAATAGGTGAGACTATGTTTTAAGTGTTGTTTTTGTTTTTTTTTTTTTTGTCAATTTTCTTTTGCTGCTAGCAGAGCAAAAGATGACTTGTGTTCCATGTGTATTGGAGAGAAGGGAGATTAGCATAGCCCTATGAAAAGAGGTGTCCGAAAAGAAAATTATAAGCAGTTAGCTATAGTTAAGTAAGCAACTGAAGTGTAGATTCTGTTGATGCCCTAAACCCATGGCCACTGGGTCCTCTTTGGAAGGGTACTCTGCATTTAATATGATGTGTTTACCTGGGGAATAATCTTCAAACTTGTTGCTCAGGGATTCTACTCTTTTTTATAAAGGAGAAAAGAAATCCAAATCTGAATCAGTCGTCAGTCTTTCCCTACACTGCTTGCTTCTGCCCTTGAAGCAGAGACCTCAAGGGGTCTGCCACAATGTGTCTGTAGGGAAAAATGGCAAACATTGCTACAGTGATAAAACTGTGCTAAACCTCTTTCTTTTGTCTGTAACAAGAATAAGTTGAGGCTGTGAAACTAGTAAAACTCTTCTTGTTTCACAAGGTTGTGTGAAACATGAAACAGGTAGAAAAATTGAATGCTCAATGAGCTATTCTAAATTACTTCAGCTGCCAGGTGGTAAAACCCCTGAAATCTCTCTTGACTCTTCTAAAATACTTGATAGTTAAAAAGGGCTTAGACATAGTTTTGTATGGCATTTCCAGCATGCATGATTTTCAGCTGTTCCAACAGCAGTTTTCATCACTCTTGTCTGTCTACGTTTTTATGTCTTAAATGTGTTGTTGGTGGAGGAGGAAAAAAGGGGTGAGAAGTACCCTCAAGTACCCGATTTTTTTCCAAAATTAAGATTTGTCACAGGCTCTTGCAAGGACCAAAAAGCTGAATATAGGGCTGAATTAGACTAAATTAGAGTTTGAGGTGAACTTTTCTACCTTGCTATTCTTGTGTTAGAAGAAAGACACAACTTACAGAAGGATTGCTGTTTCATTTTGGTGTTCTTTTAAGACCTTCCTAAGTGGAACTTCAGTTGTCAGTTGAATGCATCTTTTCTTAAAATTGGCATCAGTTAGCTATTAAATTAATGTTTGAGTTACCATAAAACAAAGAAGAACGTTGTATGGTGTCAACTTTTTTGTGCTGATAAAATTAGAGTAAAAAAACACAACAATCCAAGCTATGAGATATATTGTTTGGTGATTCACCTGGTGGTATCTTCTGTAGAATTATACTTCTATTCTATTTTTGCAGAAATATTGCAGCGTAGATAATAATTTTTTAAATTTTCGTTATTCATTGACTTCTTTGCTTGATAGTGCCTAGAATTTTGTTTGATGGCTGGACTTACCATGACTTTGAGAGTGTTTTTGGCAGTGAAGATGAGATAGAAGAGCTTTCACAGAGTATGGTTCTGCTAGCCAAGGTAAAAGACTTCAACAGTGTTTTTGAAACAGTGTGACATAGTTTCTGGTTACTTTTATAAAATATATTTTCTCATTTCCAGTTTTCATCCTACAAAATAAAATTCTTTTCAAAATACGAATGAGGCGCAAATCTCTACTGTATATTCTAGAATGTGTCCAATTCCTGTATGTATGAAATATAGCAATACTTAAGTACAATTAACTGAATGCCAGAAGTGAGTCTACTTAAGTCTGATTATCCTAAAGCTGTTATCATTGGTAGTTGCACACTTCCACCTGTTGTAAATTCTAATTGATAAAATCCGTTCCAGACAGCTGATGTGCAGAATAACATCAAAGCAGTAATGGATAGCTAATAAACTTCTCATGTAGGTCATCTAGTGAATAGAGTGATTTCCTTAATTACTATTAAAAAAAAAAAAAGAAAGGAAAGACAACAAAACAGCCAGTAACAGTTATTACAGTTATTGTGTTGTTTTTTTTTTTTGAGGGGCTGCAAAACAGTCTTGGGTACAATGAGTGCTGTTTTCTGTATTACACAAATATGTTCAGGCTTCATTGTACTAGACATAATGAGTCACTTTTTAATATCAAGAATAGCTTGCCAGATATCATTTACTGCATAATTTTGTTCGAGTCTGATAAAACAGTTAAGAGTCCAGGGAGAGAAAAAGAGGGTTTCCTTTAAGAAACAGTTACTGTTTGCTAAGACTTTCTTTGCATCCCCTCAACTTAATGCTTTGGAACAATGCTTCTAGGACTGGACAGACTGCACCCTAGAGACATTCAACTTAGTGGCTGTTTTGTGAAAACCTGCCTAATTACTGTCAGAATAAGAATACTCTCCCTTGCTGTAAAATGTAAATAAGTCTTCTGTGTTCTAGAGGAAGATAGATGAAGAGCTGAACTGAATACTTTCGTAAAATTTATAACTGCCACATCAATTTTAGGTCCTCTGTAACAATTAACCTCTTAAAGAAAGGGTGATCAAGTCCAGCGATATTCTTGTTCACAGTAAACAAATTTTCATAAGAAAGATTAATTTTGGAGATGTTTGGAATTTTCCAGTTTAATATTTACATCTTAAGAGTCAATAGCACATGACTTTTTTTCCCAATATATATGTAAATGTGTTTCAATTTATTTGCTTAACAACCATATTTCATTAATGGCTGCATTTTTCCCAATCTGATACTGGTTTATCCGGTGAGAATAGGAGTCAGTCATGCATAACTAATAGAGATTTCCAACTTCTGCATGTTAGTTAAACAATTTGTGCTTCACTTTGACTTCCTCATGAAATGATGCATTTGAGATGAAACTGCTGTAAGAATATGAAGCATGCTCAGTCTGTAATACTGCTAGAACAGCTGAACTGATTGTGTGCTTCAATATTGCATTATCTCTGCAAGCATAATGAATAAGCGTGGTGATGAAGTGTATATTCTTGTCAATTTCTTTTTTTAGAATGAAAATTTTGATGGCTTTGTAGTTGAAGTTTGGAGTCAGCTGGGAAATCAAAAGCAAAAGTAAGTATAAATCTTTAGGATACAATTATAAGAATTGCCTCTTTTACAGTATCTTTTTAAAGTTTAATTAGTCCATGTTGACTTGAATTTGTCATTTTCTATAAATAAATACACTTAACTCGAGGTCAATTGAAGATTGTTGCACTTGTCTTAGAACTATTCTACATGAACTCAAAGGTTACATATTAATATTCTTAGTGGAATTAGCAGACCACATTACCCTTTTAAATTTCAGTTGTGCAGGATATTACTGTTGAACAAGGACAAAGAGAGTACCTCAACTGCATGTGAAGTATGTGAGTGCCAGCACAGCTCAGGTGCTGGCACTGGCCTTTATTGTCACACTGGTTGGTATGTGTTACTGGATAAATAGCACTGACTTTGAGTTAATTAGGAAATCTTCCAGGATTTTATATTAAGATCTTTTATATGTGCTGAAATTAGAATGAAAATCCCCAACCTGAAGCAAACCTATGGAGAAACTGGCTTCCAGTTTTTGCAAGCACAACAGTTTTAGAACTTTAGAGTAGCTGATCTACCTTTTGGTAACTCTACTATGAAGTTTCACAGAGACTGAATTTATTGCATTTGTAAAAACTGAAGCGTTTACCTGTATTAAGCTGTTTCCTGATATGTTCTGATCTATTTTCCTTGAGCAAAAACCCCTTGGCTATCTCAATGCTTTGGATAGAGTATAGGTAAAGCAAATTCTGATCTTCAGGAGAAAAAGGCAGAATGTGTGGTGAAATGACTGATTCAGTGCAGCATACTGAAAATTTTGGATTAGTTGCCTCAGGAAATTCAGGCATCCATTCCTTAAAACATAGTACTCCTATCATCTCTCCACTGCTTAAAATGTCTGGGAGAAAATAACTTTAGAGAGATTTCTATAGAATACAGACTTACAACAGACTTTCACCTTTCTGAAAGAATCCTCCAGGTTATTCAGTTTAGGGCAAAGGATATTGGCTGATAGTATGTAACAGTTATTTCCTGAACAGTGTGTGCTAGTAAAGGACTCCTATCATTCCCCTATAAAATAAATTCTCTAGGAACAAAGGAGTGAAACTGCTGAACTTTGTAGCCTTGTCAGGGGCTCCACCATTTACAGTGGAACGAATGAAGCTTAAATGAGATGCTCTTCCTTATAATTAGGTAATTTGCCAGGTTGTTCTTGATGATTGTACTGAGCTTTAGATCTATTGCAGTCTCTTACCAAGGCAGGCAACAAAATGGTTTAAGTAAATAGTAACTGCAAGCCAGAAGTTGGGTATAGAGGTCAGTTTATCTACTGTTATTCAGTAAATCTGATGTTTCCCTATAGGTTAACTTAAAATGTAAGTCAGACTGGGTTACTGTAATTTTAAGGCTCGCTGAAAGCCAACGTAAGCAAGCAAACAGCAAGTACTGTATTGCAAATGGTAAACAAGTATTAAATGTGTTTTTATTTAACTCTGAGTTGAGTTTATGTTCCAACAGTGCTTGACCCATCTCCTGTAGTAAAAACTGGCCCTTCTAGGGGAGATACAGCTGTGTAGTAGCCTTCAGAGCCAGAACGCTATTTAGGCAAAGTATAGAGGTACTGCTTACTACATATTCAACATCTTTCAGTTATTGCTAAATAGGAATGGGAAGAGAAAGTGATTCTCAATGAGCAGAATGGTGACTGCCTCATGTGTTCCGAGTCTGTAGTGTTAGATTAGATGTGGCTGCAAGCAAGCAAGCCTTCAGGATTGTCCTAAGCAAGTAGATGTTTGGCAGAAAAACCTGGGTATAAACAAAGGTTATAAACTCTCTCTTTTTTTTTTTTCTTTGTTTCTTCAACAACAGTTTTGATTTAAATGCTTAGCTGTAAACCCACTTGTTTACCCACCACTGCTCTAGATTTGGTGGAGGTGGTTAAGTCGCAGAATGTTTCTAAGAAGCCAAGCAGTGACAAGCATTCTGAATAAGTGCTTTTACTTTGAGATCTGTTAATTTGCCTTTGAATAGCAAAGTAGAATTAGTCCTGATAAATCGGTAAGCATGGACTACCCACCCTCTGCTTTGCTCATCCCTGCAAGGAAAAGGTAGAGCCGTGACATCTTCAGCCCACAGAGTGGCAGTATTGCAACATGATTCATACATGATCCGGTCTGTTTTTCCAAAGTGATAAACATCAGTAATAAAGCATATTCTTAACAGTAGAAGAGCTGGGGACAATTGACAGGATTGTATCAACACAGAGATGACCCTTTACCTTCAGACTTGTAAAGCCTTAATAGAATAGAAATTGTGCGTGCTCCGTATGAGTTATTAACTGTTAGCTACATAGTGTAGGCTTTCCTGTTTCAGATCAATGTTTCTATGAGATACTTTTTTTTTTTTTCTTTTCCTTTTACTAACTGAACCTGAACTTTAGTGGGATTCAAGAAGCCTGATAACATCCTTATAACATTTGTTCTACCCATTGCATCTTTATATAACTAGGTAACAGTAACAGTGCTAGCACTGCGCAAGGTTTCTGTAGCCTGCAAGGTCTCTCACCAGTATCTTTGAGAATCTGTAATCACTGAGAATTTTTAAGAACAGGTGAATTTATATACTTTCCTTTCAGCTCTTTGCATGTTTCTAGAAAAATCTTGCATTTTTGGTTTTCACTTCAGCATCAGAAACAGATGAGATTTCCTCCTGCAAGGAATAAATAGTTGCATAAAAAGAGCTTTCAGTTTCCCATTTATCCTAGCTGGTATTCCAGAAAAAATGAAATAGTGCGGTCTGAGGCTCACTGTGTATCTTCTGTTCACATATTCTTAAGCAGAGCTAACTTAATCCTAGTTTGTTTTCAAGAGTAAGAAAGTAGTATTGTAACAATTCTTATTTAGGGTTAGGATTGCTTTTTTTCCTACTCTGTAATGCTCAGCAGAAGTGAAGTCTTAAATTATACCAGTCCTTCATGCTTTTTTCTTTTATATAACATTTATTTGTTAACTTACAGCGTAAATTTTGCGGAAGAGAATTATGTGCCTAAATGTGGCTGCCTGGCTTTATGTTAAAGAATGTAATCAACTGAATTTACGGCTGTTTGCTTTGGGTATGAGGGCCCTGGATGCTTTGAAACTTATCCAACAATTCTGCATACATGCTTTGTATACCCCTGGGTGTATAAAATAGCATGAGATTCTTATATTCAGGTGCTGAAATACCATCTACTCTATCTGAAGAACTTGAATTGTATTGAGATGTGTGTGGACCTATGCTGCAGGAGTCTGATCAGTTCAGGCTCATGTAAAAGTCCAGTATAGATGCGTTGAGGTAACCTCTGTAAGTACCTACTTCTTTTCTGTGGTTTGGGAGAACAGAAGCTCCTGATTACTGATATAAGTAAAGACAAATTTGTGAGATAAATGACTGAATCTAACTGATGCTCTTTTCTCTCATGCTGACAATTATTGCATAGTGAAAAAGTACTCAGCTTCATGTCTTTGATTCTAACACATAGAAAATAAGTTTCTAAACAAAAACTTAAATCAGCTGAAATGTCCTGTGCAAATAATACCTCAATTCTAATGCATTTTACTGTCCTTTACAGTCCAAACCTGCTTCTTAAGTTGTTTTTTTTTAATCTAAAACTTTGATTGATTTTACAACAGAATATTCCAAGTTATTTAAACTGTGGCATTTCAGGTTAGAAATGCATGTGCTGGAAGTTCTGAACTAAACAGGAAAACTTCTGCTTTTTCAGTTTTAATTATAACAGCCAGACAGGACAATGTCTCCTTTGCTAATATTATGCATGGATTTGTTTTTATTTTTTTCCCTAGACACTGTGGGCACTTTCATGCTTTTTTCACCAGAATCTGATAGTATATGTGAAGGTGAACACGTTATTCTGCTTTGTCTAGCATTAGCTGACAGATGGCACTGCCATCACACAGGATCAATCTGTAAAACATGTTTTTTTTTTTCACCCTCCGCATGCTGCAGGCACTTGGCATCATGCAGAAGATGACCTTCAGACATCTTATTAATGTTGGTAGGAGTATAGGAGCAAAAACCTCTTCTGGCGCTTCTATCCTTCATGTTAGTCCCTGAAAAATTAATCTATTAATCAAAGATTTGCCATAATTCACTCCAGTTTTCTGGTATTAACTAGGCAATGAAATGGCACAAAAGAGCAATTTCTTCTTGAAGTAGACAGCTTTATTCTGTCCAATTTTCTTGACAAGGCATAAATTTCAGGGAGCACTGACTATTAACTTACAAAAGAAAGTGGCAGAAGTTGGAAAGTTGGAGAGTTCTGAAGGGTCACGTAACTGAAGATGAGAACGTAGCAGTATCTTCCGCAAGGCCTTTCAGACAGCCTGACAGCCCACTTTTATGCACTGAAGTGAACTGTTATAAGATGTCCTAAACACAATAGACTGACAGTGTTGGAAAAAGTGAGTTCTGAAAAAATAACTTTCTCAAACCTTGGGTGAAGGAAATTTGCATGCTTTGTAGGGGACAAAATACTTTGAAATCACAATATAAAAAAAAAAAATCACCAACAAAAAACAAACCAACCAACCTTCCAAAAAGTAGTGATAACAGAAGGCCTGATAGCATAGGATTGAAGGAGACCTTAATTAGCTCATGATGGTCTTAAAACTGCCAGTGTCTTAGTTACTACTATGAAGTAAAATTAGACAAGGGTGAAGTCTCCGGTAAATATTTAATGTGGGCTTTTCAGAAAGACTGATTCTATTACTAATTACCCATACCTCATTATAATTTTTAAAATGTCAATAGTCCTTTCAAAATTACCAGTGACAGTATGGGAAAAGATTGTGTTAACACACTGGAAAGCACTGCGGGGGCACAGCAAAGTTTTAATCTGCAGCACGCAATCAATGAGCATTCTGTTATTGCTGTTTGGGGGAGGAGGCAAGAGCACACATTTGGTCTATATAATCTATCTTAGGTGACAAATAGAAGTTAGCCAAAATGAAGTCTTCAGCCATAACCATTAATCCTATCTGATCTGCAGTAAAGATCTCAGGGCTGAGACCTGGCTTGACAGGTTAGTGAGTAGATGGTCACCTAGGTTTCTTGAGTAATAATCTGCAGTTATCCTGCTACACTTTCACTCCCTGACTTGGCCCAAATTGAAGCTTTTTATTTTCTGGTTAAGGCTATATTGTTTAGATTTGTTAGGGGGACAGAAGTGGAAGCTATTTGGATAGGGTTTGTTTTTTAGTTAATGTGCTTTGTGCTTTCTACAAAATAAGACAGCAATTCATACTTCCTGTTGATCCTATATCAGGCCACAAATCTGTCCTTCATTTACAACCTGCAGGATTGCTATATACCAGGGTTGCCTATACTGTATGCCTTTCCAATTCAGTCAGAAAATATTTTGTGCAGTTCAGAGGTCATACAAGTTAACAGAGGCATTCACAAACAGAAGAGAGATACTGCTGATGAAAAACACAGGATAATCTCAATACCAGAGGAACTGATTTCAATCAAGTTTATTTTATAAGTAGCTTCTCTGACATCTAATAAAGGGTACTTTCATACTACTTCAAGTATAATTAGTTAAAAGGTCACTTAGCCACAGGAATCTGTAGGAAAAAGGGCTTAGCTAGCTTTAACACTGATTATAGTTTTTGGTAAGGCTATGTTGTGGGGGGGCTGTGATGCATATGGTGGGAGTCAAGAAGAGTGTTTAGTTTAGTGTTGTAATTTTTTGAATGCTTTCTCTGGAAAAGGATCCCTCCATGCTTAATTGGTTTGTCTGAATAGTGAAACTCATAATATAGAATGCATATGGTAAAGAATGGAATGTAGAGCTGTTACTTCTCAGTAGAAGAATAAAAGTACATGCTGCAGGTAGACTAAATGCTGATTCCTATAACTTTGTGCATCTTTGCTATGTGAGAGTCATTTGGCACAGCCAGCTCTGATTGTAACCACAAAGTACTGATCGTATTGGGACAGTGATAAAACTTTTGCTGTTGTTGTTAGGATCTGAGAGCAATAGTTTTTGTAGCACTCTTAGGACTTCATCTGGCATGGAACAGTTTAAGAAACAGTTAAAATGGAAATAAAACTTCTTGATTACTTTTGAATAGTATCTACAAGTAAAGATGCTTGACTTGCACAATGATAGATGATTAAATGGAAGATCAGTGATTTTAGAACAATATCTCAGAAATGATACTATGTTGATGGGGGCACTACAGTACTGGAAATAGTTTGTGAAAGTTCTGGTCTAATCCCCTTTGATAAGCAGACCAAACAACTTAGATGACCTCCTTTGTATACCCTGCTCTAATACTTGCCATCTGCTGGAATGGGTTGTGAAGTTACTTTTTACTCAATTCAAGTTTAAGCATAGCTTTGAACAGATCTGGAATTCACTTCTAGTATCCTTCTGTCTGCATTTTCAGTAAATATAGAAGTTGATCTTTTGAGGACTCAAATGACTTGGAGGCACACAGGATGGCCCTATTTATGGCATGAATTGAATGTCTCATTGGACTCTTTAGATAAAAGTAACTTAAATTTTCTTGTTTTTCTAGTCTCTTTTGAAGGATTTGCTATTTACATCACCTTTTGAAAGAAAGATCTCAAAATAGATCACATGAAGAAAGTTTTGGAGCTTATTTTCCTATTGAAATTACGATGTGGAAATCAACTTTTGATAAAAATCTTTAATGCATACAGGAGATGATACTTCCAGATATGGCATTTCCAGGCATTTATTTTGTGGTTATACAGTAAAGTGTTGGGAAACAAATGTATGAAGAAACAAAAACCACTTGAAACAGCAACAGAAATTTTTCTAAAAGCAGGCCTCATAAATACACCTTGAAGATTGCACATCTGGCTGGGAAAACCTCTATGAATTCTCAGACTTTTCTGTAGTCGTTAACTTGAAACACAAAGTTAACTTGAACCTATTCAACAATTGCTTGTTTCAGAACAGTATTTGGTTATTCCACTGATTCATCCTTTTTACTGATTACGACTCTAAGGAGTAGCCTGCTCTGATAACATATATCATATTTACATGCTAACAATGAATAGTTGTATTAAAATAAAACATTTTACCCCTAAGGTGATCACTGGTTACAATAAAACTAAGACTACCTCCAGCAGTTCAGTGTTCTTAATCTCATCAGGTAAATCTTTTTTTTAAATGCTAACATCATCCACTAGAAATTGTGTTTGGATCTCTTGCCTGCTGCATCTTCAGTTATTTCTGCTGTTACTGGTAATCTTGCTTTTGTCAACCAGTAACACTAGTTTTCTGTCTGTCCCTGTAACAGTATGTTTGTATTTCAGGGAGTTGATACACTTGCTCATTCACCTTTCTGAAGCTCTGCATGAAGCACAACTGAAACTCATACTCGTCATACCTCCAGCAGTCGCAGCAGGGTGAGTATTCCTATGTAGGCAGCAGGTTTCAGACAAGAAATACTTTGTTATTTGATACACAGTGAAATTGAAAGCTGTGCTACTTAAATGAGTAAGAAATTGTTTGAGTTTGATTGCTTGATTCACATCGCACTGAATAGTCTTAATACTATATGTGAGCATAAATACATCATAACTTTTGAAATCAAACTTTCAGCAGGACTTCCTACTATGGTGTTAACCCATAATATCTGGTGAGAACTTCCAAGAGAACAAGAGCAAAGCAGTTGTGGTGTTTAATGACTTGTTGCCAAGGAGTGAAAAGAATTGTCATAGAATGTGAAGGCTTTCTGAGCCTCTGGGCACAATTTCACTTGTGATAGATAATGCTTGTCTTTAAGCAAGTAAGGCAAAACTCTTCTTCTATAATAGGGTTGTGTCTTTTCTAAAATTATTTGGTTTGACTTAGTTGTTCACACACACAGAAAATGAATTTGCAATTCTAAATATTATCTTCTTACTAATTATTGTGTTTATTTGTGCAGAGATTTGTATCTAATAGGTGTGCCAGTGGATATGGATACGCTCTTTCAGTGCACTAGCAGTATTCAGTTCATATCTTTCAGTGTTTACAGCAGAGAGATTTACTTTCTAAGTTCAGATTTGTTGTCTGGAAAAAAAGCAAAAAAAAAAACCAAGAACAACAAAACCAAAACATACCTAGAAAATGAGAATATAATTTCAATATACATGAAAGGAATTTGGATCCTCTTTATATTTTTACACTTTTAAGAAAAGATACTACATTATCTTTAAGAGACATATAGTAAAGCTGTGATCTTTTTTCCCAGTTTGTGCATCTATAGTAGTACTATTTCTGGGAAGCCATTGGAAATGTGTATTTCTGTATTTTAGGAGATTTACATCTCATCCTTCCAAGTTTCACATAATCAATCAGTGATTATATCCATGTAAGAGTAAGCAGATAGAACTGAAGCCATGTAGGTGGAAGGTGATTCATGATGTCAGCAGAGTGACAGAACTGCAGTGCTGTCATTTCAAAGTAAAGTGTAGGCTATGCTAACATGGAGCTTTTTCAGCAGGAGGTTTGCCTGCTATGAACAGAACTACTTAGTAACATTTGTTCATTTTTTGATACTTTATCATGTCAAAAAATGCATGGCATCCTTGCATTGTGAGCATAGTTATATGTTGCCCTACTATACAGAAGTGCTTATAGTATACAATAGCATTACAAGGACATATTGCAAGGAATGCATCATCTCATAAATAACTGTGACAATATGGGTACTGTACTCCAATATCCCTTTCCTTGTTCCTCAAATTATGGGTCCCTGTAATGAGAGTCTGTTGTATCATGGATAAGCCAGCTGTAGAAGTGTATATTGCCGTCTCTCAACTCTGAATAAGGAGTACCAAATCCCTGTTAGTTAAGATGGGCTTTTTCATTGTTTAAGGTAAGGTTTTTGTCATATACTGCAGTGACAAAGCATGACCCATTGTAGAGTCTCGCATACACAGAAAGTAGTTCAGTGTGCTGCAAAGGGTTCTGTTAACTGTAGAATAGGCATCAGATAAGACACACATACATTGATTCTATGTCACTTTTGTTCTCTATCTCTGAATTTTACCTGATGGAATACTGTCTCCTTGTGGTTGCGCTTTTTGGCTTACAGGGCCTGACTTGCTGATAATGGTAACTGGGAAAGGCTGATAATATTTGCATAGTCAGCAGTGAGAGATTTTTCTTCCCAAGTTTCCTTTTTTCTTCAACCAGCAGCCTTGCATCTGCACATGAAAGTCCAGTGAGTGAGTGAGTCTTACATGGAGAGCCATTGTTAGGCAATTTTAGGTGAGTTACGAGACCACAAAAATACTGTCGTGTCTGATTTCTCTTACTGTGAACCATGTAATTTCATGAACAGGCTCACAGTCATACTACTTTACAACAGCACAGTTTTTGGGGTGGACAAGTTTCTAAATTTCTTGTAGACTGCCTTAATCTTTCAGAGTGTTTACTTTCAAGTTGCCAAAAAAGCTGACAAAAATGGAATGCCTGAACAAGCTTGTAAGTATCTTGGGTATTCTGCAGCTGGCCTTTTCTCTGCAATGATCTCAGGAGGTGTTTTATTGAGTTTTGTGAGGAGGTCCCCTAGCACTAAGGGCAAACTAAGCACTTCTGCCTACCAGGATCCGTGCAGAGCTTAAATGCTGCCTGCTGAAAAGATTTAGACAATGTGTAGTCAGTGACTAAAAATATCACATTACTCTGAGAGCCATTCACATCGCCACTATAATTCCAATGACATTTCAGCTGTGGGTTAGTGATGTAACCCCCTCTAAACCGAGTCCTGACTATAGGATATATGTTTCTTACCTACAGAGGAAAGTAAGCTTCAATATGATACCCACCTGTTATTTCATTCTTCAGTAACTAGATGAAATCTGAGTGCAGTTAATTGAGTTGATTGTCTCAAAGTATGATTGAGGGTTTTTTAATGTATTATTTTTTTCACTATCACATAGTACAAATATTTTATACCTTTCAAATAAAGCAGCTGATTTAATGTAAAATCCCTTCCCTTCCACATGCTGCTGCCTACCAGTTTTTCAAGGGCAAAGAGGAATAAATGATCTGCTAAGACTATAGCAAAAGCAAACAAGATTAATTCCCTGTGAATTGGTGAAGCAGTCAGTCGAGGCCCTCTGTTTCTACCTCAGTGCTAGTGTTTGTATTATACTGTGTGAGACAGTCTTCAGAACAATACTGTGTTTCTAGGTCACTGTGGCATTAAGAGAGTAGATTCAAGTCTCTGAGAACACCAGACTCTGTACACTGTGTTGCCTGCTGCTCTCGTAGATATAACTTGACTTGTTTCCCTATTCTTTTCCATGCTCTGTATTTTCTCTAGTCTTTCTTGCTTCAGAATATACACCTTATAATCCTAAGGCTGTTTGGTATGTGTCAACACATGAAATCTTGTCATGCACTAAATCCAGTTCAGGCCAAGGAAAGTCCTGAGACTATACTCTTGCTAGATCACTAAAGTATTTATAGGACAACAGTCCTGCATATGGTATTCCTTTTTCTTTGTTGCATCGTGTAAATCTGGAACCTCTTCTAGACAGCACAGTAGAATGAGAAAGTGGTAGAAATTGTAGTGTTTACATAGAATGTTGAGGATATTGGAAAAGGGAGCTTTTGACCAGGATGAGGCATTAATGTTGCAGTTAATTAGAGCTACTGGGCAGCTGTGTTGTTCCTTACTATCTTAGTTATTTTTTGTGTGGCTTTTAAGAATCATTTGTGTAGCTAGTAAAATGGGACCCTCAGGAAAGTAGGCTTTCTCTGTCAAGAAAAGGTTGATGGGTCATTCAGGTTACTTCATAATATAAAAGTTTAGAAGCTTTGTAATCCATTGATAGCTTTGCTGTGAAAGATTTTTGCTAATGAGAAGATTCTAGTAACTGAATTAATATTTTGGTTATTACCCAGTGAAGCGCTGGCACAGGTCTCAGTAAACTGAAGAGTGATATGCTTTGTACTGAATCACTACATCACAGTAACAACTTCAGTGCTTCTTTAGAAATACAGACACAGAAACCAAATTATGAAAAACCAATCCCTGCTCATGAGAACCTTTGCAACATTGGCAAACCATTAACACTCATTTCTTGGGATTTTGCTGGAATGCCATAGGGTGATGTAACATAACAGAAAGCACAACAACAACAGCAGAGCAGCAAGGCCCTAGGCTACTACAGCAAATAAAGACTTGCTCAAATGCAACAGTCATAGACACAGAAATAAAGGAAAGAAGCTGCTTACCTTCAGAAGACTCCAGGTAGGTAGGGATCTCCAACAAGATACACCTTGCCTCCACAGCCAACCCTTAAATGAGCTCTGGGAAGGGGTGGATCCTGGCTCCACCTCTTCCGATCACTCAGGTGCATTGCATACACCTGAGCTCCCCTGGCATGGCCCTCCCTTCCCACAAGGTCCTCAATTACTTGTTCAGGTTGTGACTTAGCATTTCTGCTACAGGTGGTACACCTTAGTGCCACATGAACATTTAGGGATGATAACAGAAATACTTTGAGATTCTCCTGCCTTGGTTAAATCAAAAATAACGAGAAATAACTAGGTCTTCTCTCCTGTCTGTCACTTATTCTAATCTTTCATGCTGCTGTCTTATGATTTGCATTCCATACTGGTATTTCCTTTTTAAAGCAAATTTCTCTTCCTCTTAATTGTAATGTTACAAATAAAGCAAAGGAGAACACTTAAAACCTTTTTTTCTGAAATGCTTTATCAATCACTTGATCAGAAAAATGCATTTAAAATGCTAATGCATGCAGAAATAAAATTTAAGTAACTTGTCTGAACAGTGGTTACAATGAGGTGCATTCACTCCCTTTGGCATTTGGGAGCATGTGGGAACAGCACAAACCTGAAGATTACTGCTCATTGTGACACCTATTACTATTACCAGATTCATTTTCATACCCAGGATGACATAAGTCTGTCCTGTTTAAATACAGTCACAGTCTAACTTTTGTAGATCCTAAAACAGGAGTGGAAGCTTCTGTAAGCTCTCTGCATTCATGTTTTGTTTTGGCCATGATTTTCTGTCAGTAACTGTATCTTTCCATGCTACTTAGCAGTCTAACACTGCGCTGAGGTTTGGACCTCCTGTAGCTATTGCCACTCCTGCAGCTGTGCTGAATATTGACAGGGTGGGGGGTTCACAGTTCCAAAACCTTTGTGAATTGGGATTCAGGGCTGTCCTGTTAGAGATGGGAAGAGCTGTCTGTCAAAGGTGCAGTTTTTGACCTGGAACATATATTACACTCCTGCTCCTAGATGGCTTTGTTCTGTAAAGGGGTAATAAAGTATTTCTGTTTCCCTGCACTGGAAAATAACTATTATGGATTATATGAGAGGACTGAAAGTTCTTGTTCCTCTAAACAAGTTAATTTGTTTCTTTATGTACTCCCAG